CCCCAAAACCCCAAAACCCCAAAACCCCAAAACCCCAAAACCCCGTAAGATACTATAATAATTGAATGAACCAAAACAGCTCTCAGAGTAGAGTGGAAAAGTAAGCAAAGATGCTTCCTCAGATCTAAATTTGTCACTACAAAGCTATAACTAGCATTTCTGATATAGAAGAATTAAAGAAGTGGCAATTAATCATTGACAAAACAAAATATTAGTGCCAAAGTTCCTCCAAGTATCCCTAGGTTCTTGACAATCATAGATTGCTGAAAGTACAAAGTCATTATGGTTTGAAGGTCAAGATCAACCTGATGAAGGTACCTTTGTATGTTTATAAAATAGATCTCTTAACCATCCCACTTCTTATGAAAAATAAGATTGAACAAACGTATGTCTGCTTCTAATATCTTACTGAAAATAGGAAGGCGGTTAATTTGCTGAAGCAGAAAAAGTGACTTATTTTAGACAAGAAGAAACAACTAGGTAATTTAGCAATCTAAACATAGATGATAAACTTTGCTCTTTACATTTATCAGTCAGCTTTCTCAAACAGCTCTCTCAGCACGAGTCTACTATTGCTGATGAGAAATGGAACCAAAAGTTCATGCTGGCCAAATCTCTAAAATAGCAGTAATGACAAACTGGAAAAAGAAGTCACTGAAAAAGAGCAGATTTATTCAATCTCACAACAATTTTCTAATTTCATTCCTGAAAATTCTGCTGATCCTCGAAAATTGCCTGATTTACCCGGTCAAACTGGATTAACTCTTTTAAGAGATTTACAGATGAAAGTAGAGTCATATGACAATTCCTTCACCTCATCTATGCAGTCAGATCTCTCTCAGCTGTCTACAGTCCAAATCCATCTTAATCACCTGAAGAAATGCATTGAGATAAAAGAACAACTGTTAAGAGAAAAGGAAAAGGAGTTACAATCTCTAAGTGAGCAAGTCAACCAGAAAAGAAGAGAGCAAGAGGAGCTTCACAAGGAAAGACAGAAAATAGAGAAAATAGAGAAAAAGAGAGAGTCCAAAGTCAGATTTGATATCAAAGAAGAAAACAAAAGCATCCTTGTAGATAAAAGTGAGCGATGTGTATCTACCAACGCCGATTCTGAGGAGAAAATTATTTGAGATCAATCTAGCCACATCCAAACTGGATCAGAGCTTGATATGGTACTTCGAGAAGCATCAGAGGCTCTAGATCACAGAAACATGAATTCCAGTCCTAAGAGAGTCCCAGATAATGAGCCACCTAAAAGAAGAGGAAGACCAAGGAGAGCTTGTAGAGACAGACCAATAGAAGATCCTTTAGCTTTACCTTCAAAAAGAAGTAGGAGTAATTAAAGGTAGGACTAAAATTCAAAGAAAAAATCAAAATACAAAGGGCAAGAATAAGCAAAAGAGAGATTCAACAATTGAAGGTAATGGTCTAGCTAATTTTCAGCTTTAGAAGAAATTCATGACAACATTGGGACTATTCTAAACAAAAATAAGAAGAAGTCCAAGGCAAGGAAGAAGAGTAAAGATAGCAAGCAGCACCATATTGAAAGCTCTTAAAGTTTAACTTCATTCCAGTAAATTGCTTCAATAATAAATATAAAATTTGGGGTTTTGGGGTTTTGGGGTTTTGGGGTTTTGGGG